GACCACTTGGGCCACGAGAGCCCCCTCCTGTGCAACGGGTCATATTAATTATTTAATTCAATTTTAGATTTTCCCGTCGACTGACTGGACCAACGAAATGTGCATCCTGGATTCCACTGCTAGTCACCATCCATCAATTAAAGAGTAGTTCTATTAGCATGAATCTGATACCTTTATGATTCTGAAAAGAAAAAATTAGTTACAGGATTTCATCATGAGCTGATATCGGTTAGAGAACCATTGGAAAACCAGCAGGGAGTACTGGACAGGTGTTTCGTCAGCCTAGTTTGGGACTCTTTATCAGTACGCACCCAACACAAGGTTTCGAACCCAGGACCTGAAGAATCCCATACTAGGATGAAACAGCTGTCCGGTGGTACTCCATGCTGGTTTTCCAACGGTTCTCTAACCGATGTCAGCTCATGATGAAGTCCTTTAACCAATCAATCAAGTCCCTACAAACCAATACTTGAAGAAAAAATCAGTTTACCTTCAGTTAATGAAATAGATCCAAATAATTTCATAGAACTATTAACAATGGAAATGACAATGTTATTAGCCTTGTAAGTGATACGCCATTTTTCTTTCCAAGTATGCAGCCTGTCAAGTAATCTAAAGAGCTGTTCAAAACGTGTTGGTTAAAATCCGCCAACCGAAAAGAAAATCTATTTGATTTTAATTCTGTTAGAACTACTACAGTTTACAAACCTTGAAAATATGCCTTAAAACTATGCTAATTTTACACTCAATACTGTTTTTTGTTTTATTCATATACTACCTGTTTCTGTGTGTTGTACACATGATATCTGCTGAATTTTATGTTCGGCAGTGAGAAACAGTCTTCCAATCATATGTGTCAAAAACTGGGACTGTTTATTATTATTATTTCCTTTAGTTCCCGGAGGAATAAGGGGCTTAAGCCGCACGTCTCCATTGCGTTCGGTCATCTGCCAGCGTTTTCACCTGGCTCCACGTCTGCCCACATGCTTTCATCTCCTCTTCACATGACCTCCTTCATGTCACTCTCACACTGACGACCAAATCACCACTTCCCATTCGGGTTCCACTCGAGTGATGGCCTGTCTTGTGATGTCACTTCATGGTTTGTTTTCTCAGAGTATGGCCACCAATCCACCTCTATTTCTTCCTGCATATTTGTTGCACAATAGGTTCCTGCTACGCTGGTTCGTTCATTGCCAGAGATCCCTGTTGCTGATCTTTTCTGGCCGGCCATCTGATCTTGAGCGAAGTACTGAGCGAAGACAGATATTGATGAAGTTCTGTAGTTTGTTTGAAGTGGACTTCGTGACGCGCCAAGTCTCTGATGCATAAAGTAGCACTAACTTCAAATTGGAGTTGAAAATCCGGATCTTATTTTTCATGCTGAGTGCTGAGGGTTGGTCTCCACACAGACTTGAGAGTAATGAAAGCTTTCCTTGCTTTCATGATCCTCGCTTTGATATCCTCGTCAGTTCCGTCCGTCTGTAGTTGAAACGATGCTTCCCAGGTGTAGGTAGGTAGGCGGTTGATGGAGGTTGCTTCTTTCAGATTTCTCCCATTTATGCTGGCTGATTGTTGTCTGTTGTGGTTGTTCTCGCTGTTGCTGTTGGCCAGGAATCTTCATCACCTCTGTCTTTTCAATATTTACCTGAAGTGAAGTCCTATCTTTGATGCTTCTTCTGCCAACTTGTTGCTTTTCACTTGCATATCTTCCAATTTGTGAGAAATGAGACATATATCATCGGCGAAGTCCAGATCCTCGAAGTTTCTTTTTGTGCGGGTCAATTTTATGTAACTTCAAAGTTGATTCCTTGAGTTTCCCGGTACGTATTTATAACATCAAGCAACAAAGGTTAATAAAGCAGGATTTAATGAATTCATCAAATTTCGGTAGAACCCGTCAGCTGAATACTCTACATACATGATATATACTTTTGAAATTACATTGGGAGATATAGGACTGATAAGTAAACAAACTACATTGAATTAGCCGTGCAGAAAGACAGGTGCGAATGTTTTCCAGGTCATGTTCAAATAGATAAGGGGAAAGGGAGTATAAGAGATTAGAATTAAGATAAAATGCATTACGCTTCAATTACATCACTTAGATAAACAATTAGACATTAGAGAATATAACAAGAATTGCAAACAGAGTGATGTCAATAGTAATAGTTATAATAACAATAATAATAATAGTGTTGAAGTGAGTTAAGATAATGCTACTGATAAAGGATAGTTTTAAATGAATCAAGAATAATAATAATAAGAGGTAGAATTATAAGTAGAACGTATTACCATGGTAGATTCAGAGTCACGACCATCTCCTTTTGTACACAGAGACCTGGTTTGTAAACTCGAATTGCACGAGCCTCTGCAATTGCAAGCATCTTCTTGTTTCTTTGTCTGTTGACAATAGTGAATGACTTGACTGCGTCGATATCATGTCCATAGTCCACAAGATGTTTTGTTACTGAGGTTTTTGGCACTTTGCATTCAACTGTTTTCAACATCAGTTGATTGTCTCTTCAAGAGTACATCCAATCGATTTTCACTTCATTCTGCTTATTTTTGGGTCGACAGTTTCTTGGTTGTTTTATTGACGAGGTTTTAAGTTGCTTATCCTTTCTGAATGGCCATACGATAAAAGTTTGCAGCGTGTTGGAAATACGCAGAGTCACTACACCATAGAGAAACAATGGCTTGATATTAGTGTTAAAAATCCGGTTGTAATTTGTTGTGGTGAGCGCTTTAGATTTTCACATTGATTTCAGAGTTGTAATAATATTTACATTAAGTTTTATTTACTTTATAAATAAAAAATATTCATAGAAAAGACAGGAATTTGAATAAAGCAAGAACAACACAGTGGTTTGTGCAGAATGATATGGTACCATCACTGCTTATTTCGTTGGCTTCTCATCATCTGTTTACAGCCTAAATAAATTATGAGGTTTATGTACAGAAACGTTTTAATATACTTGTAAAATGTTTTCTATGATGTCAGTTGACAGGAGGTTCCGGAATTAGTGAATAGTGCTCAGGAAATTACGCTTATATAGTATCTAAACAAACAGTTCAAGTTTAAATAAAATAAATGCATGCATACAATGGTAAAGGAGTTACCTAATAAAGACGAGAGATGCGTAAGATGCTGAGTGACTGATAAATTAGGTAACAATGTACTGAGTTCAGCTGAAATCATAGGAACAAGAGACAAGCAAAATTACAAAGTATAAAAGGGGAGTGAGGTTAAAGCCAAAGATTACGTAATCAAATGAAAGAGAGAATAAAGACATCTAGTTACCAGGGTGGCAAAGAGAGACTAATGGCTGCATCTTTCTGAACACATAAATCTGGTTTCAAGCGTCTGACAGAAATTGCTTCGGCAAACTTCAGGAGAATCGAGCTCCTTTGTCTATTGATAATTTTAAAAGATTTCACGAGTTATTATGCAACTTATTCAAACTGCCAAAACGATTACTTACCTATTCCACTGCTTTGTGATGCAGTTGTGATAAGCAAGTTTGGTAGCTCAAACGACTTAAGTGTAGTTGGCGCAGATGCATACCCAATAAACCTATATTGTTCTTCCATACTACTATTCTTTTTGGCTCATATATCTGTTCACTTTCTCTGTTTTGAATCTCCTTTTGCTCTCTTCTCTTGCTTTGTGTGCTAAGCGTAGTGTGGCAACTCGAACTGCTGCACATTGGTGCAAAGTTCTACGTTGAAACCAGTCAGTCAGCTTTAATCACAGAGGCTTTTTGTATACATTATAAGATGTATGGTATGAACCAGGTAATATAGCCTGAAACCCTATCCAACGACCAACCTATCATTGGTCAAGATGGTACACTATACGTATAGTCACCATGACAGTCACACATTCATTAGTTTCATGTAAGCATGAATCTAAATTTAAAAAATTTACAGTAGTTCAAGGTATGGTTTTGGGTTCAGGATTTCATCATGAGCTGACATCAGCTAGATGACCATTGGAAAACCTGGAAGTACTGAACAACTGCTTCGTCCTAGTTTGGGACTCTTCATCGGTACGCATCCACCCCAGCGGGGTTCGAACCCAGGACCTCCTGGTTACAAGGTGAGCTCGTAGACCACTAAGCCACTTAGACATGATCCAGTGACCCATGAATTCTAACTTCTGCCAATTCACAGGTGCGTATTGTGAAGAGTCCCAAACTAGGGTGAAACAGCTGCTTAGTAATCCCAGGTTTTCCAATAGTTCTCTAACTGATGTCAGCTCATAATGAAATCCTGAAACCAGTCAAATCCCTGCAAACCAATACTTGAATTATTAATGTCTAAATAGCTCATGATTACATAAGGAGGGTTAGTGAAGTCTGGTTTGACGCAAAGTGTGCAATATATCTAAATGTAAGTCTAATGTGTAATAAGATACTGTTTCTATTGACATATTATGATCATTGGTTTATGACTGGAATACAGATAGTCATAGAGCTATTTCTTTTCCCTCTGATTTTGTTATTTGTAGAATCTTGTGCAAACAGCTCAATGTTTATTATTATTTTTTTGATTATAGCTTGATTCCACACTGTATTTTTGGTACAAGTATGGAATTTTCAGCATGTGATATCGGTAGCCCAAATTTTGCAGGCCAACCAATTGATATCAAGTGTGCGTCGGTAAGGTACTGAAGCCCAGATCATGTGCATGGTCGGCGAGAGTCCTAACCGCTGTGCCACCATCAAGCGGACAGATGCATTGCCAACTTTTCTGTAAATCATTCACTACTGTCTTATTTATGCTTTACCCTACCCACACCTTTTATTTTGTCTTCTTTCAAGAATTTTAATAATTTCAGCTGAAGAAATCTAGCATTCAGTTTAAAGTCAATAAACTTACACCAGCCTTAGTGTAAAGTCAGTTTTTCAACTGCTTTTAATTATATTACTAAAATAAAATTCTCATTCATTAAAAACGCTGTATTTTGAATTTAATTCTCCCCACTTATCATGTAGATTACAAACTCAAATTACCCGAAAATTATCGGTGAACGATCTACCAGTGAACAACGTGGACCGGTAAGTATTTTTTTAACTATTGTTCTACACGTGAAGTCCGTTTCCGTTTTGTTTGCTAGATAGATGTGAATGCGATCTATAAAATAGTGACAATAGCTTTATTCTGAACAGTGTTTATGTGATGTAAAAAATTTTTCCTTTACCCCGCTAAGCCAGTAACTAAGAAAAGTTGGTAAAGAGGAAAGGTTGGGCATGAGGTTGGCTAGCAGCCCTATCCTGTAAGAATAATCACCACTGCTACAGAAACTTCAAGCCTCTAGCTTGAAGCCTCATATTCCAATGGGAACGTGAAGGAATTAAAAAAATGCGATATATTGATGAAGGTTTTCGGTAGCCAAAATTGTAGACAAGCCACCTGCTAGTTCATGTTAAGTGATTTCCTCGGTTGGCCTATAATTCTTAGGAAATTATAGAAATATGACCAAACGACCAGTAGGTGATCAGCAAATACAAAAGTGTACATTTCAAAGTTTAGACTTTATTGTCATGGCATATAGAACCGTGGAATAATTTAGAGTAAAATTGCCACATATTTGTGAACCGAACATGTTATTGACACTTAGCTCTCCTAGCCACTTACCAATATGATATTATGGCAAAAATATTCATTCAAACATCTATAAAACACAAAATAAGCGAGCAAAGAATATTTTTTTCGATAAATTCCTCTTCCAAGCTCTACAATTATATATATGTTTATATACACAGAATATTTTAAATTAGTAGTTAATAACAGTTTTAGCGTTTTTTTAAATAATATCGATTTGTAAAGTATGATCAATGCTATTGCAGTTCATTAAAGATACTTAAATAATAATAATAAAAGATATAACAGCGAATAGAATATCAACTAAAATTAGGGAAATTTCACAAAAATTCTGGATTATTCAAACCTGGATGGCCAAGGTAATGATAATGACTGAACAAACTTCTTTTGGGTGCATAAATTAGGCTTATTAATATGGATCCCCACAGCCTCAGCAATATTTAGAAGTCGAACTCTTAAAGCGAAATTGAGATTCGTAGGTATGCGGTAAACGACTCTAAAAGCATGATTAACATCAATCTTGTGTTCTGTCTCCACAAGATGCGCCAGAATAGCGCTGCGAATAGATTTTGTTTGACCTTTGCTTAACCAGGCAGGGTGATGTTCGGAAATTCGATGCAAAGCACGCCTAACTGTACGGCCTATGTAACTGGCTCCACAGGAGCAATTAAATTGGTATATACACATGGAAGAGGCGAAATTAGGAAGTTTGTCTTTTATTCCCGAACGCAGAAGAGGAGTGGTTTTAAAGATACAGCGTAACTGAGCAGCAGGGTATGCTCTTCTTACCGCATTTTTAAGGCGCTGTGTTAGTATCTCACTTGTGTTGTCTTCTAGGAACTGCATCTGTAAGAACAAGGCTTTTTTTGAAACTGTTGGTAACTTGGGCTGTTTTGGTTTCAGATTCATATTCCTATCAATAAACTTTTCGGGATAACCATTCTCACTTAGCAACCGTTTAATATTGTTAAGCTCCTCGTCAAGACATTCATCCGAGCAAATCTCTCTTGCTCTGTGGACCAAGCACTTTATTAGATTGCGTTTGTATTTCAAGGGCACAAAACTGAGAAAATGTGTGTACTGGCCTGTTGATGTAGGTTTTCTATAAACACTTCTTATTGTGCCATCCTCTTTTCTGGTCATAAGGACGTCTAAAAATGAAATACTAGTCTTTTTCTTTCTCAATAGTAAAATTTATTGCAGGATGTACCTCATTAAATTTATCCAGGATGTTCTTTGCCTCCTTTTCGTTCTTCATAATCAAAAAAGTATCATGCATGTATCGACAATAAAATTCGAGTTCATTAATAACATCTTTCAAAGGCCCATTTTCTAGTTTCGCCAGGAAAATGTCGGCTAGAATGGGTCCTAGTGGAGTGATATTAAGTGGAGTGGGTGTATGTTATTAGCCAATTGGTTTATAGTGAAATTCAGGTCAATTATTTGTCCCACTAGAGATATGATACCTGAATGACCATTTCTGTAGTTTACAAGATATACTTTAAGATCATACTGTCTTTCAATGTACTCATATTTATCAGAAATATTTTGTTTAAATTTAGAATTGCAAACCACTCAATTGACACATTTTATCCAATTTAGTTGGGGGATAATTAAATAGTAATACTGATAAATGTATAAATTTACATATTATACGTAAAGTCATTTCCAGCTGTTCATCATTTTACTATCAGTAATTTCTGTGGGCTCCTCACTAATCGGTAGACCAAAATGTGTTACTGAATTCGTTCAGTTATAAAATGTCCATTTAGACATCCCATCTTTGCTGGACCATTATTGTTTTTGGATTATGTGAAGTGGTCTAAAAACTTATATATATGCAGTCATAAAATATTTCTCGCATATGAATTGGGTTTGAATGGTAATTGAGGTCATATCCTATGCACCAGCTTGATACAGTTTGAGGTAAATTTTTGAAAAGAACCAATAAACAATGCTACTCAACCCTTAGTTTTGCGGTTTCGGGTATCGATCAGAAACTTGTAAACTTGAGAGAAACTGAGGTTCCGTCCGTGATTCCAACATGTGTTATAACTACAAAACTAGAAAACTTCTTGCACGTGCTAAGCCACCGCCTTCTTCGAAGAGCAGTGATAAATGAAATAGAAATAGTTAGAGGATTTCATCATGAGTTGGCATCGGTTAGAGAACCATTGGAAAACCTTGGGTACTCGACAGCTGTTTTGACCTAGTTTGGGACTCTTCAGGAGTGCGCACCGGGTTTGCACCCCGGTGGTCTACGAGCTCGCGTTGTAACCAGAAGGTCGTGGGTTCGAGCCCTGCAGGTGGGTGAGTACTGATGAAGAGTCCCAAACCAGGACAAAGTAGCTGTTCAGTACTCCCACATATTCCAGCGGTTCTCTAACTGATGTCAGCTCATGATGAAATCCCCCAACCAATCACAAAATCCCTACAAAACCAATACTTGAAATAGTATCAGTTTGGAAAAGAGTTAGGAGCGGTGAAAACAATATATGGTGTCATTCTAATTTGAATAAGAGACTTAGAAGACAAATTTCAAGAGATGATATAGTCATTTCGTCGTTTCTCTACAATCGCTGTACAACTAGCAACATGGTTCACAATAATAAAATAAAATAAAATGCATGACAATTACTCAGTTATATAAAACAAAAGTACATACTAATGACCAATTATATTTAAATAGGTCAAGTAGTCAGTTCATGGCAGGCGAAGGTTGAAGTCTGTTGTGTTTTTTGTACACACAGTTTAGGATGTATGTGATTAATTCAAAGTGCTTCCATCATCTTCAATAACCAACATTGAATTAGAGTTATATGAGATAATTGTGAAGCAGTCATTAATATTGATTTTGTGACCTGACATTAGTCAGTGCTTTGCAATGGATGATGCTGGATTTCTATTCAGATTAATCGCATTGGGATTTTCAATGTGTTTTAATAACCATTTTGGAACATGTTCGTTTCGACGACATTGGAACATTCTATTGGTTCTACTTATATAAGTGTCACAGCAACTGCAGGTGAACTTGTAGATACAGTTTGAAGTAGATTCCACAGAATTTCGTCCTTTAATCGTAGATACAGGAATTGAAAATGTTCGAGATGTGAGGGAAAGAGATGCGGCATAGAATGTGCGTTTGATAGTTGACCGAAGTCTTTCAGCTGTCAAAAAGATGAAGAACAAGTGTATTCCTCACGTCAGCATGTGTCCTGTCAAGAAAACATTTTCGAATTTTGATTGTGAATATGAAAAGGCAGTTGGTCATATTCTGTATCCTTACAAAAGGGTACCTCGATATTTGTGGATTAATGCACAGTTCACATAGTTCACCACTTTGTTTATTTTGTATAAGTTAGGATTTTTAGGATAAAAATTCATGATAGAACTAAGATTTTAGATGGCTTGTTATAAATAAAAGATATGTGTGATTGCTTTGTTATATACAAGATAGCGTAATGGTTAGTTTATATTGCTAGTAGGTGTGTTGAATCCCCAAAAGCGAGTGCATGTACGTTATTCTGTAATTGTCATCTCTCATAGGGTTAATTGCTATGTATCTTTGTCAAATCATTACTGAAATTACAACGTACTTGTCCATTAATGTGAGTGCAGAACTTGGGCACTGTGGTAGAATGTAATTCCATATTAGATAAGTTTATTTTTAAAAATAACACGGCAATGCCGTATTAACAACTGGATAACTTTTCAAGCAAAAATTATTGCTCATAACCATATTAGTTTTAGTCACACAGTTCCACAATTTATCTTATACATATTTTCTCTCTCTCTCGCCAACTTCCCTTTGTTGTTTGTTGCCACTTTCCATATCTGCGGCACAGACGTTGTGTCATCCCGATTGCACGTGTACGGTGTTGAATCGATGAGCAAAGCTTCCGTGATTAACCTCTCTCTCCACCTAACCAGGAACCGACTGTGCAACAAATATGCAGGAAGAAATGGAGGTGGATTGGTCATACTCTGAGAAAACAAACCATCAAGTGACATCACACGACAGGCCATCGCTCGAATGGAACCCTAATGGGAAGCAGCGAGTTGGTCGTCAGTTTGAGGGTAGGGTGACATGGAGGAGGTCATGTGAAGAGGAGATGAAAGCATATGGGCAGACATGGAGCCAGGTGAAAACGCTGGCAGATGACCGAACGCAATGGAGACGTGCGGCTGAAGACTTATGCTCCTCTAGGAACTAAAGGAAACAATAGCAATAACAATATAATCCACCTAACTGTATTACTTTTTAACACTCTCACGCTGTCCAACTCTAAGTTTTGATTACACGCAAGTGAATACAGTGAAATGGCTGAGCTTTCTTCTAGGTTATTTAACTTAGCAGGGTCAATCATTCCATGTCTAGCTAAATTCTTGTGTTCCAATAATCTAGTTGACCCCGATCCACTAGTTTGACCTATGTAAATAACCTTATTGACAGTTATTACATGGTATTTGGTAAATTATATTATTTTTCTTAATTGAATGTATTGGGTCCTTAAGGCGACAAAGTTTATCTCTGGGAGAGTTGGTTGGTTTAAATGCCACCCTAATTCCAACCTCATTGAGAATCCTATTAAAGGCCTCTGACGTTCCTGCTTTATACTGCTGCATTAAAAAGTAATAAAGTTAGGTGGACAGAGAGGTTAATCACTGAAGCTTTGTTTATCGATTCAAAACCGCACACGTGCACTCAGTGCAGTCATCGAAAACCACGGTGAATTGGACAGCTGTTCCATCCCAGTGTGGAACGTTGTGGCAGTAAACATCCGTGACCTAACCTGTAATCCAACCCAAGTGGTTGAGTGGTCTGTGAGATTGGTCTCCCTGTCAGAAGATCTCAGGTTAAACTCTTAATGGGATCGTGCCTGCTCACTACTGAAGAGTCCTAAACTAGGAAGAAACACCTGTCCAGTTCACCGTAGTTCTCGATGATTCTCTAACCAATATTCGTTCGTGACGAAATCTACAAATCTCCACAAAAACCCGTAATATGAATGATAACCTACCTAAAGTATATACGAAGCATTTTAATAATAAACCATAACATGATTCCCTTGTAATCGAAACAGGACTAGTGACGTTTGTAAACACGTGTATTATTATTTCACTGAGATTTCTTCTGCAACACCTTTGTCAACACTGTGATTTCGAGGTAAATCTATGGAATTTAGTATACGTGTTACCATGCTTCCAAAAAGCTACTTTATACATGCAAATTTCATAGTTGACAATGCAGTCTAAAGAAGGTTTCTATTCTTCTATATGTTAGAAGCCAAATTTAAAGTTACAATATTTTTCACGAATTGGTTATCATTAACAAGAAATTCCTTTTATACACCAACAAAGGCATTTTTCATTTATCTTGACTATTTGTTCTCATGTTATATTTTACCTTTCTTTTTATAGAGTGTTATGGCAAAACCTATAAGACCTTTACCATTTGCTTCACCTTGTCGAGCTGCTTCAGCAGAGAACAGACGTATGCCAGTGCCATGGGGTTTAAATAACAGTCCGCATGTGTAAGTTGGTTCTGTCAAAGTGCGTTAGTGCTAACATTCTCTTTTCTTTTGTGGATGTGTAAGACTAAGCTTTTGTACTAAAAAAAGTAATTAAAAACTGTTTACAGGATTTCATCGTGAGCTGACATTGGTTAGAGAACCATTGGAAAACCAGCAGGGAGTACTGGACAGTTGTTTCGTCCGAGTTTGGGGCTCTTCATCAGTACGCACCCACTGGGGTTCGAACCTCGAACTGTATTTCAGTCACCAAATTTTAGAAGCCTTTCACTATATCCATTAACACTTCAGAATACTTTCAGTGACACTGTATATTCAGACGAGACTGTGATACTGAATTCATAGGTGATACTAATCCATGTTACTTCTAACACAGTGAGCATATTGTGTCATTTCAACTTCTGCCTATTATCTCGAGTACTGGAGGACAAAGAAATGAAGGAACACTGAAGATGATGCCAAGATTGACATGTAAAGCTGTGACGTGAAGAATCTGAGCTGTGCAAGCAACAAAACTGTATTAATACCTAGAAGCAAGCTATAAATAACCATCTCTTGTATAACTCGAAACACTGATGCGGTAATACCCACTAACGGGGTATTCTAATATCATCTTTTATTGTCTCAACAACTGTCTGATTAATTCAACTCAAAAGTGCTTTTAAAATGAAAGCAGAGTCCCACTTAAAGCACACTTTTGGGTAGATAAGAGTCGTAAATTTCTCAGTTACATTGGGTCCATTTTTTGTAAACGACACCGAAAATGACATCTTCATTGACGTCAAATACTGTGGGAAAGAGAATAAAAGCTGACAGAAGAACAAAAATTTCCATGATACTCATAATGTTGACGTAATGCTTTCTGACCTTTTCATCATCATCATTATCATCAATTTTCTCGATGAGAGCCACGATTTTAATGTGAATTTTGGGTTCTTAGAATAAATGATAATATAGTTTATCAAATAAATGGATGCATCCTCTTACCATCGTTTTTAGTAATGCTTATCAGGTATAACTGGAACAGCATATGTATAATTTTATAGTCTTCAATTGTTAGTTGGTTGCAGGCAATCGGTAGGAAGCCTTGGCTGCACCTAGGTTTCGTGCTACTTGGCACTCACCAGTCAGCAAGGCGTATCTGCAACCTCGAAGGAACTCATGTCCCTTCTGAGATTCTAACCCGCGTCACCCAGTGAGAGTTGCAGTCAGAGACGTTACCACAGAGCTATTCACGCTCGCGATTGACCTACTGTAGGACTGTAGTGGATACTTTGATATCTAATATCATCAAATCACTGTGCACCGTGTTGGCGAGCTGCCTAGAATGGTGGCCACATTGCAAACCTGAATGATAGAATTTAGTCTGCACCAAAGAAAGGGCTAGACACATCACACTAGTTACTGATTGGTGTCCAAGCAAATTAGTCTTCAATTGTATTTTATTTAGCTGGTATTTTGTTTCACTACAACGTAAATTTGGATCGACAACATAAACTAGGCCATTCACATACGTCAAATCATGATTAAACTGGAGTTTAGTTAAAATAAACCCTACGAATTTGAAAACATTAGGAGCAAGTACAACACTACACACACACATACATTTCTTTCAGTAATTAAAGTGATAGAGCACTTTACAGAACTATATTATGAACCAGAAAAAATAGTTTTTAAAATATCTCTTAGTCTGAGGCAACCTAATTAGAAATACCAATATTCAGTAACCAAAATGTTAGTTAATTATTATTATTGTTTCCTTTAGTTCCTAGAGGAACATGGGGCTTCAGCCGCACGTCCCCATTGTGTTCGGTTCTCTGCCAGCGTTTTCACCTGGCTCCACGTCTGCCCACATGTTTTCATCTCCTCTTCACATCACCTCCTCCATGTCACCCCACCCTCACACTGACGACCAACTCGCCGTTTCCCATTCAATCGGGTGGCACTCTAGTGATGGCCTGTCTTGTGATGTCACTTGATGGTTTGTTTTCTCAGAGTATGGCCAGCCAATCCACCTCTATTTCTTCCTGCATATTTGTCGTACAATCGGTTCCTACTAGGTTGGTTCGTTCATTGCCAGAGATCCCTGTTGCTGATCATTTGTGGCCATCTGATCTTGAGCGAAGTACTGAGCGAAGACAGCTGTTGATGAAGTTCTGTAGTTTGTTTGAAGTGCCCTTCGTGACGCCTGGCCAAGTCTCTGATCCGTACAGTTAGTAGCAGTGACTTCACATTGGAGTTGAAAATCCACATCTTGTTTTTCATGCTGAGTGCTGAGGGTTGGTCTCCACACAGACTTGAGAGTAATGAAAGCTTCCCTTACTTTCATGATCCTCGCTGTTGATATCCTCATCAGTTCCGTCCGCCTGTAGTTGAAACGATGCTTCCCAGGTAGGTAGGTAGGTAGGTAGGTGATGGAGGTTGCTTCTTTCAGATTTCTCCCATTTGTGCTGGCTGATTGTTGTCTGTTGTTGTTGTTGTCGCTGTTGCTACTGGCTAGGAATCTTCATCACCTCTGTTTTCTCTATGTTCACCTGAAGTGAAGTCCTATCTTTGATGCTTCTTCTGCCAACTTGTTGCTTTTCACTTGCATATCTTCCAGTTTGTGTGAAATCAGACATATGTCATCGGCGAAGTCCAGATCCTCCAAGTTTCTTTTTGTGCGGGTCAATTTTATGTCTGTCTCCTCGTTGCCCACTGTCTGTCACATTATCCAGTCTACCGCAATCAGAAAAATCACTGGAGATAGTAGGCAGCCAGTCAGCTTGTCTTAATCCTGTCTTCACTTCAAAGGATTCCGTGAGTTTCCCGTTGTGCATTACTTGGCATGCAGCATTGTCGTACAACTGTTGGATGAGATGTATAATTGTTGGTGGCACCCCTTGGTAGTAGCGAAGTAGTTTCCAAATCACCTCTCGATCGACGCTGCGCTATCGAAGGCTTTTTCAGTGTCGATGAAGTTGAGTGAGGTGGAGAGGTGACTGCCATTCCAAGCTCTGTTGAATGATGCGTAATCCGTAGTGTTGTGATTTGATCGATGCATGATTTGTTAGTAAATAGTTTTCGCTTTCAGTGATGTTATGTACTCAGATCTAAGTGATGCATACACAGAACATTTTCACTGATTACTAGTTAGGATGTTAGTAGCGTCATGTGTCTAGTTTTTAGTCGTACTGACTAAATTTTCTCACTGAAGACTGAAATATAGTCTCTGAGCTAGAAGATTCACCACCACATCTCACCTTGAATTATTATTAGATTGTTGGAAATTTTTGACCTGGACTTCATTCTTGTGGACACTCATCGTCGAGGAGTATTCGCATCCTCGAAGGAAGAGATGCCTTCTTGAAAATTCTCAATTTCACCACCTAGAGCTGCAGTCAAGCACGTTACTACTGATCTGTTCGGAGCACGAATAGCTACGAGTATTTTCAGAAGTGACACCAAACACGAAATCACGGTACAGGACTTCCCAATGATCACAAGCGAAACAGTAAGCTTATTACATACCTAGTATGGATTATCTTTTGCATCTGATAAAATATATATTAAACTTAAATTTGAATTGTTTTCATTGAAATAGCTTGAATAATTTATCAAAACGTAAAAATCATCTAAGATCCAGTCCTACAAGTTTATCTTCATCATCAGCCCTGTCGATTGATGAACAATCTGGTAGTGTATATAATTTAAAATCTTTTGAAAAATTTGCTCACATGGGTCAACCACACGTAGTCGCTTTGTATAATTTTGAAACTGGCGTAGAAGGTGATTTAGAATTTGAAGTAAGTTCAAAAGGGACTAATATCTACTTAACTTTATAGAACTATTTTTTGTCTCATGTGTTACTGTGTGAATATATATTCATCGATGTATTTATATTATATTTTATTTTGGTTATTGCTTGAAACCACACAGTATTTTTGGTACAAGTATGGAATTTTCAGCATGTGATATTGGTAGCCCAAATTTTGCAGGCCGACCATTGATATCAGGTGTGCATTGGCAGGGGATCGAACCCCTAATCATGTTCATGGTCGGCGAGAGTCCTAACCACTGTGCCACCGTCGCAATGGAGATTGTTATTTTTTGCTGTTAGCTTGCATACAAGACTGCATAAGACACTTATTATCTAGCAGAGAAGCAAATCATTTCTTAAAATAGAATTTAATTGGTGGATGGCGAATAGCAGTGGAATCCAGGGTGTGCATTTCGTTGGTCCAATCAATCGACGAGAAAATCTAAAATTCAATTAAATAGTTAATATGACCCGTTGCACAAGAAGTGGCTGTCGTGGCCCAAGTGGTCCAGTGGATAGCGCTTTGACGCTTGAAACTATGGGTACTGGTTCGAGCCTCGGTGGGAACATCATCACTCACTGACTCAGGAATGCAGGTACATCCAGCTGACCAGCGAGCCCCAAATAGGACGAAATGCGCGTTATCCTGGATTCCACTTCTAGTCACCATCCACCAATTAAATTCTAATTACATGCCCAGACATCGTGGAAACATCTGCACAAGAAGCCAACATGTCAACCTGAAACCGAGCACTTCGGTCCAATCAATCGATGAGATAATCTAAAATTAAATTAAATTTCTTAAAATATTTTTTCATCATATTTCCGAATTCAGTAGTTCAAAATAACTCATATTTATACAGTTTTATCGATTACATCCATTACTGAATTTGATCGTGTTTAGTAAACTAAGTTCGGAAAGAGTTTCACCTCTTTACAAGCAAGACTTACACTTTTACCGAGAAAAAGCCTTCATCTTTTGAAGTCTTTAGTACGTGATAGTCTCAGGCTATTTGAGTCCCCATTCAGACATTTACAAGGCAAAAGGATTGAACGAAGAAATATTTACTTTTCAATTATATCCTCATCTCTGGCTCTACTCTAATATATATGGCATTTTCACCAATCAAGTGGCACTGATATGTTTGTTAAAAATAATTAGTCGGTATCAACATCTGAAGTGGGTGATACTTAAAGAAGAAAATTGGTACACACAATTAAAGGAGGGGAATGGTTACAACAAGTGGATTGCATAGAGCATAATTTTGGGAGAAGTGAAGAGTAATCAAGGAATAAGCGAGTGTTCAAGTTCGTTACTTAACAGAAAATTAAAGAAAAATAAGACGATTTGGAATAACAATAACTTGTATTTAAAGATGAAGTAATCAGAAAAAATAATAAAATAATTTGGACAGTTATAATTAGTAAAAGATTTGGGGGGGAGGGCGAATTATTCCGTTTTATACATTCACTTAACGATGGCCAAGATAAAAAAAATGGCTGTGCGAATTTCTTCTGAGCACACAGGTTTAGATTCTTCAGTAATCTAATAATAATAATAAGGATTTACTTTATTCCAAAAACAGTACTTGTGATACAGAATGGAATTTTCAGCATTAATCACAATATTGCATCTAATTTCCTCAAATTATCAATAAAAATTAGTCACGCAGAAAATTTTCCACATTTACAATAGGGGTAGTGTCAAAAAAAAACATACAGCTTATAAAATGGAAATAATAATAATAATGATAACAGCTAAGGTAATAATAATAATACAAGTGGAAATTGCTGTGGGCTTGTTTCACACAGTATTGTCGTTGCGGTATACAAATCCTTGCATGATTAAAAATATTGAATATGATGTTCTCTTTACATGATATGGTGAGGGGAAAAACAAAGATTACAGCAGTCATAGAGATAAGTTGGTGTTTGCAGTTATGAAAGTAAAAACAAAGAATCAACAGGAACATAAATATAATAGAAATCATGAAAGTAAACCTTGAAGGTATATAAGTATGGATGGAGGAGATTGTTTATTTACTAGATGAATAAAGGTTAGTTAACTCTTGCCTGACACTATTTTCATTACATAAAATACGTGCCAAGTATGGTATCATAGAATTTTTATACTTAGACATGCGAGCATACAGTTTTCTGAAGTTACTTCTTGTTCTACCTGAGGAGATGCTAGGTGAAAGCTGAGGGTGAAGTGGATGCTCCAAGTCAGACAAAATCCCTTTAGCAAATTTACTGCACGAAGTCAAATGCCTATCGACAACGATGTTAACTATGTAGTCCACTGGGATACCACTCATCCTACTGACAGTCTTCAGCATTCTACGAATTGTGACAAAGTCCTTTTTAAGCAAACCAGGAAAGAATAAGGGTGAACAATAAAGAAGAATAGGTAGGATGCAAGAGTTTATGAACTGTAAGAGGAGGGGTTGAGTTATGCCCGAGTGCCCTAACTTCTTAATGTAAAATGTCAGGCGGAATATTTTACTGGAGATCGCTGAGACATGGGAAGACCAGGAGAGATCAGAAGAGAGAATAAGTCCAAGATACTTAATTTCTGATTTAATTCCTATATCATTGTCATCAATCTTAAAACTGTCATGAGAATCGACGGCGTCATTGATATTATTGATTCGATGTTATTTGAACAACATTAATGTTGTTCATAACACTAATTCATTCATTCACTATTATGGATGGATATATAACTGTAGAGCCTGATGAAGAAGAGGTTATCGAAAACAGTATTCTTTGTTCATTATCCATTTTTTTGAAAATTTTAATGGGCATTTTTAATCAGTTAAAATGTAGTTTTATTAAGACTGTTTAACTGAAATATTAGCCATATTACATTTTATTCTTTCGTTTATTCCAAAGGTTGGTGATATTATTATGCTGGAAGATATTGTCGATGAATCATGGTATAAAGGCAGATCTATAAAAACTGGTGCTGTTGGAATATTTCCTATGAATCATGTAGAAGTGCGAATCCCACTGACAACTGGTTTATTTACAGACAAACAACCGAAGACCACGCTTGTACATCCTGTTAAGCCGAGGCATATTTTAACAAGCAACAGGACGAATTCTCATCCATCCTTTAGGAAGAAACCGATACCACTGCCTAAAACAACAAATCAGTCCGCACCTGTAAGTACTAAGTATTATTTATTGGTAATCTGATGCATAAAGTTTTGATATTTCCTCCCTACACTATGCATGTTGATAATAACCCCAGTTACGTTCACTGTAAGTCTGAAACTGAAGACATACAAAAATGCAGTTGTTTTCGAGGTACGTTTTCAACTGTCTTTGGAATGTAATTCCTCGTCGACTGTAAAATAAACCAATTTGTTAGCCACTTTGAATGATGAGAAATTACTATAGATAAACTGTCTCCCAAAAATTCAAAATAATTTAAAATTTCAGACAGTGATCTTGAAGCTGAACTCATTATTTTTTGGCAAGCCAATAGTTGTTGTCGCAGCTGATACGAAGGAAACAGAAGTACAGGCATATCAGTAGTTCACTGTACTAACCGAACCATCGTATGTGAAGTCAAGTGTTAGTTTTTAGGTGGATTTGGAATCTACAAACTTTACTTGGAGAAAATGGAAATATGTCTGCAGTGAGGAAGTTACAGATGATTTGTAGCCTTCCAATCCACTTTGCATATTTAATTGAATTTTAGATTTTCCCGTCGATTGATTGGAAGCAAGTACTCCGCCTCAGGTTGACATGACTTCTTATTCAGGTGCTTCGACGATGTCTGGGCATGTAATAAGAATTAAGTTGGTGAATGGTGACTAGCAGTGGAATCCAGGATAACGCGCATTTCGTCCTATTTGGGGCTCGCTGGTCAGCTGGATGTATCTGCATTCCCCATTGGGTGATGATGCTCCCACCGAGACTGGAGCCCAGTGCCCATAGTTTCAAACGCCAAAGCGTTATCCACTTGGAAATGCAGGTACATCCAGCTGACCAGCGAGCCCAAAATAGGACCACCAATTAAATTCCACTTTGCATAGTTGGGATTTTATGTTTAGAAGGAATTTTAATATGGTAACAAATGGAAACAGGTTAGGCTTTAAGTATTAGCACCATTTGTGGTGTCGATATTTTGCGATTTAAATGTTGTAAGTTTTCAAAATGATTAACAGTAAGTAAGTAAAACATTTGGAATCACTTGATTTGTAATAGACTATTTTTACTTCTCAGTATATACTAGTTCCTGAAATTAAGTAAATATTTAGATACTTACAGCTATTAACAACATCTTGTTAATATGAATAGTGTTCAGTCTATGTTGTTTCTGACTAAAAGAATTCAGTAAGCCAACAGACAATCTCAAAAGAAAATAGATCATATTAATGGGAGCATTTTGTCTAATTTAGTGCGTCGGTGGCATAGCGGTTGGAACGCTCGCCGACCATGCACATGGTCCGGGGTTCAATCCCCGGCCGATGCACTCCTTTACCTCGCTAAGCCAGAAATAATGCTGGTAAAGAGGAAAGGTTGGGCATGAGGCTACCAACACCATCCTGTAAAAATAAACACTGCTACAGAAACTTCAAGCCACTAGCTTGAGGCCCTATGTTCCACTGGGAACGTGAAGAAAAAAAACAACAAATTTTTGTCTAATTTACCCCGACACAAGTGTATTGAAGAATTTTCAGTTGTTGATTTGTAAGGATATGAAATTGGGTTGAAGCAATACATCACAAAGAAGTTTATTCGACGAGAACATAACTGAACTGATTCGTTTTCTGTCTATGAATAAAACATTAGCGGATTAATTTTATTTTTTGTCTGGAATTTTTTTCGATTGATATGATAATCAACAAATGGATAACAGTACTTGACATGAGTGACCCATGGTTTCAATTAGAAGAAGTGATTTGAGTGTATATGAAGTTTAAACTTAATCCATAAATGTTATCACTATTCATCTATCTAACGTTCGACTCTACTTTAGTAGTATTTTAAGATTATTGTTGGCTCTTTGATTAGAAGTGTAACGGGAGAAGATGAGAGACTGGGTAAAAGAAATTTTATTACGGAAAAACATATCATATGTATACATTCTTAGCCACATTAAGTTTCGACTGCGTCAGGGGAGAATAAATTGTTGTGATTGGTTGGCGATTGGCCCAAGATAAAACAGTGGGGTGCAAATTTGTCCAATGAAACTGTTTCATGACCACAACGTAAATTAAATCCGGATTTGATTAAATGAGCACTTCCATTAACCTGAAATGTTGATTTAAATTTCTGGCTGCTTCCTGTCACTCTACATGTATTTAACACAGACCATAGAAGTAGTTCAGTATTTGTTTAGCATCTAAAATTATTCTTGTGTAATTAACAGCAGGCTAACTATACCATACATACATGACATGTTAGGAATTCTCACTTTAAGTGGAGAAAGTAATTGTACTAATAGAGTAGTAATTCATTGGAATCAGTGATTTTATCAAGCAACGTTAATTGACACTAGTTACTAGTGTCCAATCAAGTATCCAATACAGTCCTACAGGAGGTCAATCGCGAGCCTGAAGAGCTCTGTGGTAACGTCTCTGACTGCAGCTCTCACTGGGTGACGTTGATTCGAATCTCTGAAGGGATATTAGTTCCTTCAAGGTTGCAGATACGCCTTGCTGACTGGTGAGTGGCAACTAGCACGAAACCTAGGTGCAGCCAAGGCTTCCTATCGATAGCCTCTAACCATCTAATATCAAAGTGGTAAAGTGGCATTCAATGAGCAACCTCCCCACCTTTGATTTGTAATATCCCATATATAATGGCATTTATAATGCACGCATAAAATACCCACTAGATGGACAAAAAGTACATGTGTGTAACTGTGTAATACACTCAAAGCAGACAAGTTTCAAATGCAATAAAAACCTCTTTGAACTCTCTTAATGCTTATTTTATTCAACCTATGAATGTATTCTCACTTCTCTTACATTTCAATATTTTCAAACTTAATTTTCCAAATAGCACAATATCACCACTTCGTATAAATTGTGCAGTCAAACCCTTTCTCCTTGTAATCTACCTAAACGACCATCAAGAGTACGAGTTACCAGTTTAAATGCTAAAGATTGGCAAAGTGTAAGTATCTCTCTCATCTGAAAATAGTTGAGTAGAAAAGGAGAAGAGTTAACCACATTCTATATACGTGTGCTGATTTACGTTACAAAAATATCACTCATTAAACCGTATATATACACCATTAATTCACCAGTATAAATAAATTTCACAATGAAATCTAATACTATTTATTTTGAATTATTTAATATTGTCTCAATCAACTGAGCTCTATTTATCTTTTGTTCAGTAGGCCTCAGTCTTTTAGTACTCACTTCATTGTTATTTAAGTCATTCAATTCAATTAAGATGAATTCGTCTACTAAAAAACCTTAATTCACTGATCATCACAGTATTCATATATTAACACAGTGTATATATTTATTGTGGTATAGGTTATAAAATTCTGCTCAGATGGTAAACTTTTAATTCTTTCTGGTTTACACAGTCACTTAGGCTGTCTGTTTGAGATGTTAGTTTTAAACAGCTGACAGTCTATCTGAATTCTAGTGAACGTGTCAATAGAAAATTACTACTACTACCATCTTTGTTTTTCTTGAGTAATCATCGGTATAAGTTCTAGTTGGTACTAGTTGGGAAAATTACCGTATAACTGATTTCGCAGAACATTAAGAACATTTAAACAATCATGTACAGTATTGATTTGTAGGGATTTGATTGATTGGTTATAGGATTTCATCATGAGCTGATATTGGTTAGAGAAGATATTGGCTAGCGGTCGCGCTATTTCGTGAATTGGCAGAAGTTAGAATTCATGGTCTGGTCATTGGATCTGGTCTCAGTGGCTTAATAGTCTACGAGCTCGCCTTGTAACCAGAAAGGAGCAAAGTTAGACTTTAAGCACCACTAACTGCCAATCAGCGAACGACCTTCAACGGATCAGTCACATGAAAGAGGGACTTTTGACTAAGGAAAACGTATATTTATGGAAAAAAGCATAAAAACTGCATAAAACTGTTATACAGGGTATCTTTCTGCAACGTGTGACAGAAACATCTCCCAGTTTAGCATAGGAGAGTCGATAGAAAAGTTACACCACATTCGGCACATATATTCGTCCAAATGACTATAAATGAGATCCTTTTGAGACTCATATATAGCCCTAATCCTATTTTTTTATCTTCCCAAAATCCTACTATAGAATTCCTGTGTTTCTCTGTAATTAGATCCACAAAATCCCTAGAATGGTTCACTCTGTGATGAATATATGCAAGAGATGACAGCGAGTTATAACCTTTCCATTCATCAGTATGTACAATGGATCCCTGTTTCACAAGTCAAGTGACAATAGGTACTAAGGTAGTAGACTTTATGTCTGGTATTCTCTCCACGAATCCTTACCTCAGGGAGGTGTCATATAAACCGATCACCCGAAAATTGTTGGCTCGCTCATGACCACAGTTGTATTTTTCCTTCAGTAACACAGTTTCGTCCACGTGTATGACGATACCTTCTCCGCCTAACAACGAAGTAATTCCCTCCATTTTCCATGAAGTGATGTCTCTCCTTCCTAAGCAACCCCAAATCCAGGCAATACTGCAAAACCTTATCCTCATCTAATTGCAAGCGTAACTTCGTTTGATACGAATCAAGCGCTATACAACCTTGAACTCACGTGCGTGAACCTCATTGGAACATTCGAGGTCATTTGCTGATTGGTAGTTAGTGGTGCTTAAAGTTTAACTCGGCCACCAGGAGGTCCTGCGTTCGAACCCCGGTGGGTGCGTACTGACAAAGAGTCCCAAACTAGGACGAAACAGCTGTCCAGTGCTCCCTGCTGGTTATCCAGTGGTAATCTAACTGATGTCAGCTCATGATGAAATCCTGTAACCAGTCATGTAGAGGGTTAAATCTTCTGAATATTGCGTTAGTTTTGCAATAAATAAATGTTGAGAGATCTAGTTAAGGTTTCGACTCTGTTTTACTGATGCGTAGGCTGAGAAGTGTGTGTAACTGAATGAAGTAAAATAAAACAAACACCGTATATGTTGGTGTAATTCTTATGAAATATTGTTGCGTGTCTGACTTCACTACTG